CTCAAATTAATTAAAGTCACACAGTCGAGGCCGAGAAATCAGTTTTCGTTGGTCACTGGCAGTTATATTTCACGAAGATTATAAAGAGATTTCCTTACATCGATGTGATGCTTTCCTATGGGATCAATGACAGGTATAAATCTCTGGATAGACGACTAGCGTATTTTTGTTATTGATCTTTTAGTATGTTGTTTTAACTTCCATGAGCTTATGTTGTTGGATGTTCACAACCGCCATTACATGAAGGCTTACAAGTATGTTCAGGTTTCGTGTATTGGTAAGCTTTGTGGATTTTAAGGCTAGGAGATAACTGGTGTCTTTGCGTTTAGTAACAAACGTTTCATTATAGTTAACTTTATTAATGCTATTGCTTATAATGCTTAAGATAATTTTGAATAATTTGTTTTTAATAAATTTTTCATACTTTTGAATATTGTTTTGCATTGTTAGCTTAGCATTTCAATTAAGTACAAACCTAAATTCAAGTTGTATGAACATCATCATATCCAGGGAACAAAGACAAGAGAAGAATGTGTTAAACTTTAATCCTATACACGAAGCCTGAACAATACATCTCACTTGCTCATGTCCTTCTGTTGTTTTAGAGCAAAGCCACATTGAACTACCTACTGTGTGTACGGCAGGGAATTGATCCCCGGCTTTAAGTCTTGCAAATGCTACACGTGTAGAACAGCCTATATTTTAGTAAACCTTCCAAATGACTCGTTTCCTTAGATGTAGATAAAGATGTGTCGTCCATTTTGGATAGAGCATGCAGGAATTGCTAAAGACGCCATTTCTCTTCAGCGAGAGCTTGCGCAGTTTGATGGCTGAGTAAATGTATACTTAGCTCTGTTCTCACGTACAGTTCTTTAATGCAGATGTATTCACTTGAATAATAGATACATAGGGCAATCTCATCTGCCTCATTTTCATATATAACAAACAGTCTGTGAGCCCACTTCTTCCTCTTTACAACGTAGTGTTTTAACATCCTGGACACCTCTTTCATCTAGGGCCACACTCTTGTTCTCCTCTTTATATCTTCCTAAACAATAGAGCTCCTTTATGACCCTTCCAGAAGGAAGATCTACTTCCGACGAAGGAACTGTAGTAATGCAACCTTGTTTTCCAGTTCGCCAACAAATTTTCGAAAATTTTGAGTTTGTAAACTTCCTTTTATTGCATAACCATCAAGCTTTAACTCTCTGTGTTTCTTTTCAAGTGGCCCCTTGTTACAGTAAAAGTATGTGTTTTGTTTTCCATAAGGAAATCCAGGGGATGGATTGCGTTTCTGCTGTCTTGATAGGTCATGAAACGTTTCACCTTTCAGAAAGACCATTTCTTCTCCATGTGTTTCGATGACATCAATCACGATTGCAAGTGGTAAAACGTAACCAAGAAATGCCTTCTGAAGAAAAAAACTCAAAATCCACGTAAAAAATAATAATTTAAAGGTAATGCAGCTTTAAAGAAAACTCTAAGTTGTTTCTCTAGCCAACACCATTACATCACCATTACCACTACTTCAAACAAGTAGTTACTCAATCGTCAGCAAGAACTGTTAAACAGTCCATGTGGTGGCACTTTCTACATTAAATTTGTGTAACAAAAAAGAAAGAACAACACAAAATCCTTGCAACTGTGGAGGTGAATGAACTTTATTTGTAGTCAAGATTGGTATTAGTAACATCTCCAGAAGGCGCTCCAAAGATATCCCGCTACCCAGGTCTGTGTGAAATTGTCCGAATTTGGCCACCCTACGGTTTTTATAATTTGCTCAAAGATGAAGAAAAATAAGTCCAACCTTTTAAAGCAAGACCAGCACTTCCTACCCGCCTTGATCCCCTGGGTGTGAGATGTTATTGCGATTACAGCTGAAAATACCATTAACAGCAAGGGTATATAACTGATGATTCAATGCAATAGGTTTCAGCTTTCTTATCTATTGATATATGACATTTAGTACTTCTGGTCAGTTTTTTGTATAGGATAGGCTTCATTAACTTATATGTTATTTTCCAGTTCTGATTCACATTGTTGACTCGCTGTTTCGCTGCCAAGAACAAATATAATATTATTTGACTGTTGTCCATCTTCTAAAGTGGAAACACACACACACACACACATATATATACATATATATATGCATGTATATATTCAATAATTTTATTCAGATAGTGCAAGCACGTTTACAAAACCCACGTGCTATAATTACTAACCTGTCAGAACAAAAGTTGTTGGGCACTACCGCAAAAACCCGATTATTGAAATCACGAAAGTATTATCGAGTCTATCAACAATAACAACAACAAAAACAAATAATGAAAGATCCGTATAAGAATGTGCTGACAAAATTAACACATTTTCTGTATAGATAGAATACAGAGATCAGTCAACTAGCCTGTCCACACTTACAGCTGCCTACAAAAGGTTTGGTCTCGTATACAATTTGATTAACAGGGAAGACTAATTAGAAACGCAATACATTACGTTTTTGGTATTACTCTGTTGATCTTAATGTAACACAACACTAGGAATTTTAATGAGGAATGTATTATACACGATAGCCTCAAAAACTGTGTTTAATGTGTGATCAAAAGCTGTGTTTAACATGTGATCAAAAGAAACCATAGTGAAATGAGAAGAATAAATTGATCGCAACTTGTTGAACTTGCAGTGGTAAACGTCAGGGAATATTAATCTTTATTGTTAACTATAAGTTGTACAAAACACTTTTTGAAGAGAAAATGCACCGCAGAAAACGTATGAATAACTGAACATATTGTCAATGTTTCCTATTGAAACAATTACTCGATTACCAGGGTTTTACCAGGGTGTTTCGTTTTATTCTGTTGGTATGATAACTTTTCAGATACTGCTCTTTCAGAAAACTTTTACAAAGGAAAAAAATAAATATTTTTTTGATTATATGTTTCAACATGCAAGCCATCAAAGTTGGTAATATAGTAATGGGATATGAGTAAAAGGCTTCATTTAACTCGCCTGAAGAAATCCGTTCGGCCAATCGGGATTTCTGTTACATGTTTATCTAAAAACCTAACCATTAGGCTTTTATATAGGTATATACAACTACGTCGTATTGGTTATATTTCAATCTGTTTTTGTGTATTGACGGTTAATTTCTAATTATAATATTTTCCCAAAAGTAATATCTCAGCAATATATATAACGAGTAGTAGTGGTGTATTTCATGTGGAAAAAATACATTTCTTTACAAACATGATCCGTGGTTTAATATATATATATCTAACTAGTTTCTTGAACAACAGAGGGGCACATATGTTTATTTTGATTTTTTGATTTTGTTGAATTTCGCGCAAACCTACTCGAGAACAACCTGCGCTAACAGTCCCTAGTTTTGAAGTGATAGACTTGAGGGAGAGCACCTAGTCAACAGCACCTACAACCAATTCTTGGGCTATTCTTTACTAACGAATAGTTGAATTGACCACCGCATAATAACACCCTCATGCTTAAAAGGTGACGGGGTTCGAGCTCGCGACTCACAGATTGCAAATCGAGTGCCCTAACCACCAGGTTATGCCGGGCCTATATTTTATTGATAATTTAATTTAGTAACAAGTTATATATTCATATAGAATTCAATTCAACATAAACTCCTTAGAATACGTTTCTATTTTAAATAATATCGAGCGAAAATTACAGCTGGAACAAATGTACTTATTTCGATCTTAATGCCAAACAACCCAAGTGAAACAGAGTTGTTAATACAGTTGGGACTATTCTCCGTATCTCAATTGGATTATTAGGTTTTATATTTTCTTAAAATAATTAATTAATTAATTTAAGTTGGAAGTCAAATGAACACTTGAATGTCTCATTAGAATTTCAGTCTTTAATATTACCAGATAAATATCTAAGTGGAAGTTAATGAATAGCAATTATTATTGAAGTGCCATTTTGGACAGAATAACGAATTTCGACAAACTATTTCTCTTTGGTAAATTTTAACCTCATCTTAGTTTGCCGAGCGATATTTCTATAATCATGAAAAGTTTATTTACTTTTATTAAAATGATTAATTAATCAAGTTCGGAGTCAGATCGCTAATCGAATTTTTTTTATTGAGCTATCTTAGAATGCGGGATTCACGTTTATTGATTAAATGTTTGAGTGGAGGTTAGTGACTAGCGAAACCATTGAAGTGTCATTTTGAATAGAATAACGAAGTTTTTCGAAAAACCAGTTCTCTTCAAACGCACGTGAGATCAATAAATTTCAATCATATCATGCTGGACAATATTTAGATAAGTCCAATTCCAAACTATATTTGATTGTATACTGTGATAGTGCGTCATAAAAAAAAGAGGTCCTCAGAAAGAAACGTTCGTCAGTTTTCGGTCTTGCACTCACAGATGTTCACAGTGTGGTTGTCTTGGTAACGCTATCCACGCCAGGAAACCGACTTCCTTTGTAGGTGAAGAACGTATCGATTGTCATCGCTCCGGATCCCCATTAACGCAGCGAGTACAACTAATTTAGAAGGAAACAGACATTCTGAAACCAGCAAAGCGAGATAGCCTGTCCACATGGTTTTTACGATTTTGTCTGGTTTGTTAATGTCGAAAAACGTTAATGGTGGAGTTATACAGTCATCACTTTTTCGTAAAAAATCTTACTGATATAAAAGTAAAGAGAGCATAGTTTAAAAAAACTACCCTTCACAAATGGAACATCTCGTAAAGAACATTTAATATTGATAGTACTGCGTAAAACATACAAATATTTGTTGTATCTTAGAAAAACAATTAGAACTGACGATGTAAGAAAAACTGAAACCCAATTACAAGAACTCAAATTAAGTTGTTAGGAGAGAGTACGTTCAATTATTTTATTACAGTTCTCACCGCAAATTTTAAGTAAAATTTCTCACCCAACACTGATTATTGGATCTGATAATAAGAACTATCACGCATGACTCTTCTACATCAAAACTATATTTAAGTAACACTTACTTTGATGGTTTTATTCTGTAGCCTGAGCCCGTTGAGTGTGTTGATCGCTTTCTCAGCATCATCTGCACGAATGTAGTTCACAAAACCATACCCGAGACTCTGGCCTACAGAAATGAAAGTAATTAAACGTGTAGTAACGGGAGCACTCGAGCAAATGAAAACAGAACTATAATTGATTAACAACAATTATTTTTCATACGAATCCAATTTCCTAAAACCAAAATACAACCGCTGGCTGGAGTATGAACAGTTAAGTTCCTGAGGGACCTAAAATACTTCCTGACAGTAACAATCATTCAGCTGGTACTAAGCCGAAACATACAAAATAAAAACAACATGCCACATAGATACCATTGTCAGCCACCGAGAACAGTCAGACAAAATTTTCGTATGATCACGTATATACCTAAACAAACATTGATTTGATAACCATTCAAATATGGACTCTGTAGAGTGCAAAGCGATACAAGCACGGCCAACTTTAAATATTCTCCATAACTTCGAACTCAGATCAGGCGTATGATACTATATGACATTTTCGTTGTTTATTGAACGCAAAACTACGCAGTAAGCTATCTGTGCTCTACCCACTGCGAAAAATCGAACCCTAGATTTTGTCGTTGTAAGTCCGTAAACTTTCCACTGACCCACCAATGGATAGTTCAGGTGAAACTGTAACTGATGAAGTAGCCCCTGTTATATTGTATATATATATATATATATATTTATGGGACACTCTAAGCGTTGGTGTAAAAAAAAATTTATTAGCATCGCAGATACAGATTTGCATAGACATAACCTTAACTGGATTCACACCTCCATACAAAAATAAAAGTTCGTGAGCCACAAATCAAAAGGCAAATCTTCTTTTATTAACGTTTAAAAAACAACCTGAATCTTAAAAACAATTCTTGTATATTGTGAGACAAAAGAAGTACTGAAATATTAAGATCTTATTTTGCACACATTTTTTCCCTCCAAAGAATGATTGGGATTATTAACACTTTGTCAATGTTATACCTTTGATCAGTCAGGTTGTTCTCATTATGAAGCTATTCGACTTCTAGAATAACAACAAATGTTGTTATAAAAGGCTTAATTTGAGAAAATGTGTAATCAGATGCTGTTACTTATATATTAGTTTCCATTGATGACTTTTTTTTTAGCTTCATTCACACACACACACACAGGAGAAGTCTGGAACACAGCTGTTGCTTATACAACTAACTATCTGGTTATCCCTCCCCCCAACCTTCTGTCCCGTAAATTTTGAAGCGTGGGGAAAGAGAGAAAAGCATGCCTTTAGACCAGCTGTCTTTACCTGAAACGAATTCTACACGCCAGCATAAACTGTCAAAACCAAGATGTGAAATATATGAAATAATATACTCAACATGGAAAAGTATTATGTAATACTTTTATAGAATATAGTATTTTAAGCAAGCATGCTAACTGCCAGTTGTACTATTTATATAATAACATTCCCCACGTGCTAGGAAAACCCTTACGAGATAGAGTAATGACTACAGACCTATATTTAAGGAAGACAAATAACTATATTATAAGTACTATGTCCAAATATTCTACAAAAACGTTGCATATTTTTTATATCAAAACGTTTTCAAACATACTTCAAAAAAAAATATCATGCATTCTTCAATATGAGTTAAAGCTGTGGCATACAAACGTTTTAAGATAACTTTCATGAATTAAAGTTAACATAACACCAGCCATATGTTGAATTAATCTAAATTAATCTAAATCTCGAAACCTTGACTGAAAACTACCTTTCGAGACTCAGGTCAGCAAAGCGAGCACGCGCGTGCTTTCGCCACGAGAACTATCTGTGACTCGGGTCAGCAGAGTTTTGTTTGTTTGTAATTAAGCACAAAGCTACACAATGGGCTATCTGTGCTCTGCCCACCACGGGTATCGAAACCCGGATCCTAGCGTTGCAAGTCCGCAGACATACCGCTGTGCCACTGGGGGGCCAGCAGAGTTTTAGCAAAACTTTTCATGGTTTTTACTATACCTCTTGGTTGCATGAACATGTTAGTAAAGAGGTAGCAAAGCTGTGTACGAAATGCATGTTTCAGTTTTACGCTGTATAAAGCAATGCTATGTTTTATTTTAAATTTGTTATGCGATATTTTAAAATATATATTACAGCTTTCTAAAACATCTCCTTTCATAATACAACTGCTATGTTCATATCCGTTGACATGCTTCTAAAAAAAGCTTCAGACATTTGAAACTTTTTATACGTAATAATCCACATACGTCTGGCACACGATGCACGAGCTAGAACTTTCATAAGTATTATGTGAAACGCGAACACGTTATTCAATCGAATTAAAAGAAACTTTCTTCATGCACAACCGATTGAGTTTTTTGAAACGAACATTTGTTTACTATAATTAGTGGTATATTGTAAAATCTGTTATCATGTGATACAGTCTTGCAAAATCTGGCAACATATGCTACCATCATTTCAGAACAATTTAGTGTTAAAAGGATGTTTTTATCTAACATCTCTAGAAGTGTGGAGAATATTCTGCTTTCGGTTAGGTCTTTTTTTTGGGGGGGGAGAGTAGTGGTGGGAGTTGTGGAGAACTGACAGTTGGATCACTCGAAAACGGTAGTGAAGAGTAATGAAACGGGAATTGGATTGTTGGATAGAGAATGGATTAGAATATAAATGTTCAAACATTGCTTGTATTCAGTTGACCAAAATCTATGAATAGCAGTCAGAAGTTCTCAAAATTTCTCAGGAACAAAGTATATTTTCTTTCATATTGTGAATATAATGATTAATAATACCCTAAATAAGAGCTCATCATAGTTACTTAAAGTTTGTTTGATCCATGACACACAACGGTTGTCTATAACGAAAACAAGAGATGAACAGGAAAAATTGAAACCGGATTTCTCATGGTTCCCATCGTCATTCTTTATTCATACTCAAACATTGTCAGGTATAAATAACTTCTAGGATGTCCTTTTTTTTCTAGCTTGCACTCAGCTGGTTTTCATCTAAAACCAACACACAAAAATGTGGCCATCTGGATCATAATGTCAACAATACTATCCTACCACAGAATACATTTAATGGGTGCCCTTGTTTACTACTTGTTTTCGTCTAAAACCAACACACAAAAATGTGGCCATCTGGATCATAATGTCAACAATACTATCCTACTACAGAATACATTTAATGGGTGCCCTTGTTTACTACTACTTGTTTTCGTCTAAAACCAACACACAAAAATGTGGCCATCTGGATCATAATGTCAACAATACTATCCTACCACAGAATACATTTAATGGGTGCCCTTGTTTACTACTACTTGCTTTCGTCTAAAACCAACACACACAAGTGTGATCATCTGGATCATAATGTCAACAATACAGAATACATTTAATGGTTAACCTTGTTTACTACTCCGTTAGCAAGTTATTTATTCTATTCTAACCATCAAATTAAGACTTGTTTTTATACCATTCTCTACTTGTGTTGTCCATATCCTGAATCATACTGAGTAATTTTATGGTTTTGCTCAGTGTAAAGAAAACAAGGGTGACATAAATTATTTCTATGTAAAATACAATGGGGGGAGGGCACCACCAATAACTACAATGGGATTAATTACAATATTGGCGGTATGTTTCTTTAAATATTTTTGTTTGACTTGCATGTTATTAGGGGCCCTGTAACTAACAGTGTCATATGGGCTGACAAGCAATCTGGCACGAATACAGAAAAATATTGTTAAAAAACCAATCGGGTTCACATGGATCTCTTCGGTAATTTACAGGTTAAACTACTTGTGGAAAAAGTGCAGCCCAGTTAATAATAATTATCATGGTGATATTGAAATGGTGCTCAAATGTTAAAATTGGAGGTGCACTTTTTTGATGTCACAACGTTGGAAAAGCCGCCACCACTCAAAAAAAGAAGGTACTATCTTTTGCAAATATGGAAAGGTTTCGTGTTTGCAGGATGTGTAAATAAAACTATACAATTAACCTATAGGCTAATATTCAAATAATTCAGATCTCGACCTGCATCTTCTTTCCAAACTCGATATCGTGCTTTATATCAAAATGTATTAATGAACAATTATTTATTGGTTATGAGGGGGAAAAAATACTCTGTTACCCGAAATTACCAGTCAATAATTGTTTTATTCTACCCCCTCTTTTGTTTTGTTTTTACTAAAATGTGATTACTTGTCACTGTCACATAGTATATTTAGCCTACATCCCCTGGCCTATATCTAAATCTCAAAGTTAAACATTTCATTAAGATTTTGATCCCATTTTAAGAATCAATAATAAATCAATTAGATCTAGAATTTGTTTAATTTTTAAAATATGTATATCATCATGTGATTACACAATAAACGTATAAAGTACACACCTGTCTAGACTCAGTACAAAATTTTCTTAGAATCCTGGTGAGATTTGTGACGTTGTTTGTAAATTAAGCCTAAATGAATCATCGTGATTTTACTGTATTGCAAAAAAATTGTCGTCTGCAAAATGATGCTGCCTAAACGACTCTGTTACTCTTTATATGTGATTAACTGAAATCTTACGCCATAAGAGATGTCCACATTTATTTTACGGATTTAAACAAATTGTTAGTAATTAGGCCTAAATGAGTCAACATGTTTTCGCTGTATTGCAAAAAATTGTTGTTTGCAAAGTTCTGCCGTAAGCACACATGGCAACGGCCATGACAACCGAGCAACACTGATGTGATCTGTTGTCTAGCTTTTAAAGTAAAACTGAAAAATGTTAAAATGTTTCATACCACATGAAGCCCTCTCGGCAAATCACGACAAATAAAGACGATTGTTTGTTGTGTGATTTTTATTTTTAGTTTATAGATGCGTATTCCTGTATTCTTTCAATTTCCACCTGATAATCATCTATGAATGAACACGAAAGCTCCTGTAATGAAACAATCAAAATTATAAATATAATATTTGTACTCAATGAATACAACGCAGATAGCCCATTGTGCAGCTTTGTGTTGAAATACATCTGAATATAACACTGAACTATAGCAGTATATAAATAATCATCAACAGTGAAATACCGTTCAAATATACTTTTGTAAGTTTATATTGCACAGTTAACTCAAACGGAGTCTTCCTTCTTCTTTCAAAAAGGATTGAAGTTGTTCATCCCCCAAGCTTATACAGATTGTAGTGTCATCAACGAGATAACAAAATTTAAAACTTAAAGGCATAGTTTTAATACACCTGGATCTTAACCAAACTTCTTAAAAAATGCAACAGTTGTGAAACTACCTGTGACTTTGTCCCTTATCAGTTTACACGATTCCACCTCCCCGATGCTAGAGAATAAACTTCGTATTTCTTCTTGAGTCATAGTCTGGGGTAGATAGTTGACGATCAGATTCGTTTTGCTGTCCTCGGACATTATTGAGCCTGTCTGAACTGTGTTATGAATGGTACCGTTTTGTTGTGGTGACACCACCGTTGTCGTATCCATACCATTCATTTGTGTCACTAAATAATAAAACATAAATTTCATGTTAGATCTCCCGTAAAAAGTTCACTATATGCCAACAAACATTTCAAAAGAGTGTATTTTGAGAAAATTGAAAATTCTAAAAAAACAACATGTTTTTATGTTTTCCCTTTTTAGCCATGTAATGTAAAACATGTATAAAAAATTTTCGAAAAATATTCCATACATTTTTTTGCACCACTTTAAATAGATAGAGGTAAGAGGGTAGAAGTAGCAGTGGTTGTGTAAAGTCGGTTGGAATTGTGAAACCATAGAAACTGTTAATAAGAGTTACAAAAGAGAACAATAAAGTAAGTTAGAGGTATAAAATTATGAAAGAGTATGGAACAAATTGCATTTCTATAACAACAAGAGAAAGTGTAAAATTAGAACAGGATTTCAATTAAAAAAAGGAAAGAATTTTGGAGAAACTTTAAGTAATTTTATTTATTTTTTAACATTTTTAATATACTTAATTCATACATGGAAATATTTAATTTAGTTGGAAAACGCCATTTGAAAACTTTTTGTTATAGGTTCTCAGTAGAATTATATCCTAAAGAGTGACTTTTGAAATCACGAATCCGGTCGAAGAGATAAATAAAGGAGAGAAAAATATGAAGTACACGATGTTAACACGAGTAGTAATTATGGAATACAAGATCAGCCAGGTCTAATTTGGTTATAATACTGAAAGTAATTATGAAACACATAACGTACTACAAGAGTTACCAGATCTAGCTTTGTTATGATATTGAGAGTAATTATAAAACACATAAAGTATCGCAAAAGTAACCATCTCAAACCTGGTTATGATATTGAGAGTAATTATGAAATACTTGATATAATTACAATGATAACCAGATTTAGTGCTATCACTATAGTGACACAAGTCATAACTGCCAAAATGGTCATGACATTGAGAGTAGTAATTATAAAAAAACTTTCTATAGCTATAGCACAGTTACGAAACAAATCGCTTCACTATCATATGAACCAGAACCCAGATAGCATAGCTATCAAATAAACTAGAAAGCAATCAATCGAAGTACTGAATCTCGATTTAGGTTCGCAACTCATAACTTTTGTTGAAGGCAAAACAAACCTGAAAGACACAATGTTATATACGGCAAGTTCGGTCACCATATTCATATTCAATGTGCAGGTAATCAAGGTAACAATGAGCTTTAACAACGCAACTTCTCTAACACAGTAACAAACATCATTCACCGTACGCGGCACCCATCTAGTGTAACAGTAAAAGGCCAAAAACAAGCTTAATTTTAATGATCTAAAATAAAGCCTCTCGTTTCTGTACCACAGCTTCTTTCCTGCTTCTTTAGGTTCTGTACATGACACACACTAAAGTAAACATTTTGAGTTAAAGAATATCTTTACCAATTTTAATAGGTGTAGCGCACATCAAAGCTAAAATCTGATATACAAAAAAAAAAAACATCCACATTGCATTAGAATGGTTTCCGAAATTACCATGAAAACGAATGTAGGTTGAAAGACGACTTACGATCTATGCTTTTCTATTTTTAGGTAGAGATGTAATATTCTTAGTTAGTTAATCACAGGTCCACACTGACAACGTATAAAAAGCAAAGCTGAAATCAACATTTTTCAAAGTTGCTAGATATTTCTTGTTTTGTTTCTCATTTTTGTGTGAAAGTAATTTTCAAGTAAACGATAAAGCTGGGCGATAAAAGTGCAGCCTACACAAAATATCTAATTAGTACAAATCAAAGTATTCGTTACATAAAAATATTGCAACTTTTAACAATCCAAGGTTCCTGAAGTAAGCAGTATTTTACCTTTAAATAAGTATGATTGTGTTGAAATTAAATTAGTGTACCAATCTAGACAACAATTATTTTAAAAAAATATTCAAGAGACAAGTCATGTAAGATGCTAGCAACAGATGTTTTAAAAGTAATTCTATCCTACTGTTTATGAAAATTGCTGTTGCCAAGCCGTGTATTTGAAGTGAATCACAGGATTCAAGATGGCGGCCAAAATGGTGGCCTGATCAATAAATTGTGATTTCTTTGGGTTTTATATCAACTAGAATGGGAAGTTCAGAAAAACTTATGGGATTATTTGTGTCAACATATTTAATGATGCATGTTTCGAAGGTGTACAAAATGTTCGAAAATCAATTTTGTAAGATAACCAAAAGTAAGTACGGACTCTTGATCAGTAGCTTTTATATAAGGAACGAGACAATTAGCTCACAAATGTCAGCAGCGATTGGCTCTATCCTACCGCTGGAAGACCGACATCACGTTGGACAAACCCTTTCAGTGTTTGGTGTTGATTTTTCACTTCCCCTGTGGTTCACATTGAACTGTCTGCCGGTTGCCACAAGCAACATCGAGATGATGAGGAAGCTGTTGTTATCACAGCTTATGAGGCTGTGAGGACATTTAAACTTCCGTTCATTTAGACGCATGAACTTCCCCTGGTGCCTTTTGCGTTGGCCGAAATTAATGGTGGAGATAAAACAGCACTGACTAATCTGCTGACATTAGATATCCAATGTCCTGAGCAGATTGAGCACCTTAAAATGTCATCTCAACTGATTACCGATGTCCAGACAATGATTACTGTTCTGGGAAAAACATATAAATACAACTACATTTGGCGCTCTCGCTAATATTTTTGTGGAACAACTGAAAGAAGGTGGCTCAGCATACAACAGAGTTGATGCTGCGTTCAATCGTTGTCGAGAAAAATCAGTCAAAGCCAGAACTTGTCAGAAGCACTCAAAGACGCCCCAACCATTAAAAATGTGTCATTTAGAACAGAGACTTGTCACTGCCAAAGAACTGAAGAAACATTTTAGCATTGCCAGAGAACAAGGCAAATCTTGTTCGCTTCTTCTCTACACAGCTTATTTGAGACAATTCTCCGAATCTTATAGTTGTTTTTAAATGGGAGTTTCGCAGATGAGTAACAAGGAATATCAACCACTCTCTCAACAAATGTGACGCTACTGTAAGCATCAAAATGAGACAGAAAGTGCACGAAGTCAACAGCAGCTTTGATGGAGTAATTGTTTCAACTCGGGACACTGATCTATTTCTGCTTCTGATTCATTACTTTGAGAAAACGCTGTTCGCGAAACTATGGTTGATGGCTGGAACATCAAAGAGGAGGAATTTTGTCCCGATTCACACGTTATGTGATCACTTGCAATCAATGCTGAAATCCAATTTGCTTGCATTTCATATACTTACTGGGTACGATGTGACACGTTAGTACAAGCAACAGCAAGCATGCAACGTGTCATGCTGAGCCGCTTTACAAACCTGGGAATGTTCCTTTAACTGAAAATGCAATACATGCTGCAGAAAAGTTTGTCATGAAGCTTTACAACATCGGACCACGGTTTACTAGTGTAGACTCTGCCCGTCATGCTCTGTTTGTCGCCAAGACAAAAGGAACTGGAGTAACATACTACATCAGCACATAATTCGTTCACACTACCAAAGAGCCACATGAGTGCATGCGCACTACAGTAAAATGAAACTACCTGCTCCAGTTGACTCGGGGTGGAAAGGTGGCTCTTGTCTTGTTCTTTCATCTTAGTTTCCAATTGAAAATTCGGCTTGGTAACAGCATTTTTCGTATTCATTAGGGTCAAATTACACTAAAAACACCTGTTTCCCGCTAATTACTTGACTTGCCTCTTGCATCATATTTTTCTTTTTAAGAGTGCTGCCTAAACTAGATACCTTCCTCTTTCATAATTTACCATCATAGATTTCATCTTTCTTTCCAAGTGAAACAATCCGAGAAAGCTGTTCTACATTGGTATAAACAATGTGGATAAGTAATGTAGGGTAGATAGGAAGAAGATCATTAACAATTTGACATATCCATTCACTTTAAAAAATATCTACTTCCAACGAACCATCTGACCATTATTAACTCAGATGGTTTCACTGAGATGGGCATTTTAAACTTAAATGTAGATTTATTAAATAAATCTACTTCAATATGTTATTGTGGAGGAGGAATTTATTCGATTTATTTTTGTAGAAATTCCTGTAGATTCCGATGAAAATCAATTAGTTTGTTTTCAAGATTGCTTTCGCCATTTTCTAAAGGAACAGTTAACACCTTTCTTTGTATTGCAGAATATGTAATATTACAGTAATTTAAAACATTTATAGTAAAATGTAGCAATTTTCACATATGATGTTATTGGTTACAAGGTATCGAACTATCGGTGACTCAACGGTTACCCTAAGGCCGTGGCTCTTAACCTTTTTTGCTCCATGCCCCACCTCGACACCTCAAAAAATTTGATGCCCCTTAATATAAAAACAAATTTGGTGTTGAAAAGGTATAATAATATAATGTAAAATTTAGAAATTTAATTTTGTGTCACGGAACGTTTTTCGCTCTTCACACCCAAATGAAAATTTGTTCTTATTGTAGCATTTTCAAATTGCCTCCCAATATATTCAAATTGCCCCCCTGTGGGGCGTAAGCCCCACGTTCTAAATCACTGGTCTAAGGGCTTATAACGCTAAAATGTGAATTTCGATACACGTAGAGGGCACAGCACAGATAGCCAGTGTTGTAACTTTGTGCTTAACAATATATATAGGATTGCACCCACACTCGTTCAACGATAAGTTTGGGGGTTTATAATGCTAGAAATTAATTTTCGATACTCACAGTGAGCTCAGCACAGGTAGCCCATTGTGTAGCTTTGTGATTAATTAAAAAGAATAGTAAAGAATGCCTTATAGTATACGAGGACAAACGAAACATGTTAAGCATATCTATAATAATGAAATTAGTCCTACTAATTACTGCTGAGATTCTCTACAAATTATATTTTGAACATAAGTGGTTTCATACAATTTTTTTGGTAGGTTGAGTTAGTATTTTGAGAGTTAAATGTGTAGGGTGTTTTTTCAAGAATTTACTAAAACTGTACTAAGATTTTTTAAGGCATATTTAAAACGTACATCATTCC